TATCGACTAGTTGCCCCAGATTTTACTCATCAGTGTAGGAAAATGAGAGTTTTCTTATAGGATATGAAATTTGACTGGACAGGAACTATGCTTTTGTGTGGCTTGTATAGTGTCTATCAGACTGAAATCATTCAATAAACATAATCCTAGCACAGAATTGTGTTGAAATCAAATGCTGTGAGTGGGTAAGGAAATGTGCACATTTAGTTCTTTTTTAAAAAATATTTTATTGATTTTTTTACAGAGAGGAAGGGAGAGGGATAGAAAGTTAGAAACATCAATGAGCGAGAAACATCAATCAGCTGCCTCCTGCACGCCCCCTACGGGGGGTGTACCTGCAGCCAAGGTACGTGCCCTTGACCAGAATCAAACCTGGGACTCTTGAGTCCGCAGGCCGACGCTCTATCCACTAAGCCAAACCAGTTAGGACCACATTTAGTTCTTTTAAGGTAGTCCTCCCAAGTAGGATGAGGGTGCTGACCTGCCAGGATTGGCCCATGTAGTTCTCAGGGCACCTGCTGATGAGCCACCTGCGGTGGTTCCAGTTTGGGCAGGTATAGCCAAATCGGCTCTTTGATCCTAAGAGTGGTTCCTGCCCAGTGAGTGCCTGTGTTTGTCTTGCCCTCCCTTTGGTCATTACTCCCACCTGGCATTATAGGACAAAAAAATGAGAGGTGGGAGGGGGTTGTGAGGTGACACTTCAGAAACAGGACTCTGCCAAGTAGAAAAGCTGCTTAAGTAGTTCTGGTTCTAAAAGTACATATATAACATTTCTGCCAACCCATCAGTGAATACATTTTATTTTCTATATCGTGCAACAGTCTGCTAAAAGTTATTTTTCCTGATTCTGTTTTCTCATTACTGGAGTCATGGATCCAACCTAAAATGCAGCCAGCAATACAAATAAAAGACAGTATTGTTTCCTGTCTTTTAATACTTTTTTCATAAGTATCTGAATATGCTTGGAAATATTTACTTCATTTTATGTCTCGATATTTTAAAACCAATTCTACTATATTTGAAAATCAACTTCAGTGACTTGATTATATTGGTCATTTTTTTTTTACCTTGTATAAAATTTTTGCTGAGAAATTTTAATAGATTTTGCGATAGTCTCTGCCTTTCCATACACTATTTGGTAAAAATGTATACATGACATACCCATTTTATAGCTGAAAAAGTAGACACTGAGGTGCTAAATATGACATATAAGATTGTACAGGGTGTTAATCTCATTCTACCAATTTGATATTGGTAGTGTTCGGATACTCTGGAATTTAGGGCTTTCACACATCCTCTGTGATATGAAATTTGCTCCACATTATTGTAATAACGTCATTTAGGTATCATAGATAAAAAGTGAGAAAATAGAAACATAGGGATATTAAATGACTTGTAGCAAATCATAAAGCAAGGTCACAGGAAAGCTGATAAGATCTTGGATTCCTTCACTCTGTGAACTAGTCCTGGCTAGTTTTCTGACAAGAAACATTTTTCTCCTTCAAGAAATCCCAATTTTCACAGTTGTGAAAGCTGGAAACCTTCACTGAGAAAGAATGCCTCAAAGGACAAGGAACTTTTGAAAAAAATTAGGTTTTTAACCTAGGATAGCACAATATATCAACCACCACTTAACCATTTTCTAATACTAGGTTTCTAAAATTCTTGTTTAGACAACAATCTAAATTTGAAACTGTTATTTAATTATATTTTTCTCCTTCATTATCTAGTTATCACTTAGTAAGACATTTCAAAATTAAGTATTTATATATTTATGTACAAATGCATGAGTTTTGAACTTGATATATGGAATTTATTGGGGGAAAGTTTATCAAAGTAGCACCTACTTTGAAATGTTTGTGTAATAACTTCTGCTTGTCTTCATTTTCAACCTGAAGAAGAAATGTCCCTATATAAGGCTGGAGACTTAGATAATTAGTTAATAAGGAAACAGGGACTAAACCAGGCCAAAAGTTTACTAAATTGTTACCAATGCAGATATCCAGGCTTAAAAGTACATGAAGTAGTCTTCATATGTTCACTTCCTACTCATTATGATTTCCTTTTAGGAAATAAGCAGATTCTAGAAAGCTCTACCGGCCCAGGATGTGCCGCTCAGATTAGTATGACTCAGGCAGTACCTATGCTCATTAACTCATCTGCTACTTTCCCATACACACCTGATCTCCACCAGTGGCGATAAAGTAAGAACCAGTAATGGAAGGTATAGGCAGTCCCTTATTCCAAAGGAATCCCTAACAAGAAACTTTACATACACATTCAAGTAAATGAGCCTTTGTGAAGTTCCTCTATAGACTCCTCCGTGAAGAAATACCCCAGTTCACCTAGATGGAACCAACTTTACCAACATGAAATGTGCATTCACTAACATTTGTTCCATACATTAGGTCAAGAACTGGAGATGGCTGGATTTACTAGTAATTCATGTCAAGAGAGAAGTATGTGGAGAGGGCATTAGAGAGCCTGGAGTTGGAGAATGCTGGGAGTTAGCTAAGTTAGCAGCATTGGATTATCTGAGAAGAGTGTATGGTTGTACTGAATGGTTGCTTTCCCCATGATTCCAAGTAAACTTCTCCATCTCCATTAAATAAAATATAATATTATATAAGCCACTTGGAAAAGTAAGATTTTTTTCAATTATTAGCTGGTAAATTCCTGTGTCATCTATCTCAATTTTCTCTGTCAGCTCTGTTTTCTACAAACACAACCTTTTCAGCTGCATTATTAACATTTTCAAAGGCAATTCTACCAGACTACCAAGTGCAATTTACTTTAGCTAAGACTTATTTACATTTATTGTCCAAGGCAGACTTAGATAATATATGTGTCATTTGGTTCACAAATAGTAAATCTTAGTATGTGATAAGCTTTAACTCGGTATAATTCAAACACTATATATTGTGTACCTATTCTGGACTAGTTTCTGTGCTATACACCTACATGCATTTCCTGCTTCAATTTTCATAACAAACCATTTTTAGATATAAGACAGTTGAGCCTCAGAGAACCTAATTAATTTGACCAAGGACATACAGATAGCAAGTGCCAAACTCTAGTTCAAACCAAATTCCTCCTCCCCCTCTTTGTAAACCAGTATCTCATGCTGCTTCTAAGGATGTGGAAGATTTTGAATTATCTGCTAAGAGTCTATGCTGTTTTAGTAAGGGAGAAGTGGGCTGCCATCGTATGTGGTTCTGTGCTGCTATGCAATTTTTAGGAGCATTTGTTGACTCTGAAAGAGCCCTTTTTAGCGATTGGAGGTATCATTTCTTTGATTCAACATTTCAACCTTAGTACCACGCAGAGTGAACTCTTTGGCTTAGAGTTATCTGTGTGATCACTAAATTGTTATAGATTTCCCCCATCCTAATGGTCATACAGATATGATTTATCTTATATGGTACTATGAAAATAGAAGCTGTACAAGTATGTATTTGGGAAAGACGATAAATGTATTATAGAAAGCAAAAAGACAGCATGTGTCACAAATGCTTCCTATTTATCTAAGACAAACAAAACACACTGAAAGCAAGAGAGACCTATATTGTTGCTATTTGTACTAGTTCTAGAGGTGCTGCATATTTCTCTGAGCAGGTCAAGATAGTCTAGTTTGGGGGAACCTTTTATTCTTAAGCAATTTATTTTTAAACCACAAAATGTTTAGTGTTATGGATCTAAAATTATCATGCTTTAAATACCATAGTTCCTAACTGGTAACCTCATTCTAGTAAGAGTTTTAGAACGGGTTCAAATGTTCTTCCTACACTGGCATTCCAACTCACCTTTAGAAACAGTTCGTGCATCACTTTTAGGAGCTCTGCCTTGTACTTTTAGGCATATTTGTGTCAGTGCTCTTGCTATGTTGTATTACAGATTTCTTTTTAAGTGTGTGTTCTTTCTTTTAGAGTCTAGTGATAAAATGGTGAGCTTCTTGAAAGGCTGTGCTTTATGTATCTCTTAGTACCTGGTATTATTCCATCCCTACGATGGAGTAGGTGCTCCATAAATACGTGTCCAATCAATTAATGACTTGCAGTCACACACACATATTAGGCACATGAACAAAATTTCCTAAGTATTAGCATGTTTCTCAAGTGCTTGTGAATCTTTTAACATTTTCTATGATCAGATAGATATATTTCTGACTGCTCTAGCCACTTTTCAGTACATTTTCTAAAAAAAATAATGTTTAACCTGTTGGTAGCTTTTGTTTTCACTTTGAGAATCACTTTTGCACAGAAATTCATGTGTGCACTCTAGTACTTACTACTTGGTTGAACCACACAGATAGTGTTATGAATATTTTTATTCATGTGCCACCTGTTTGGTGGCTTTGTTCAGGCACGTTATCTGTGCGTTCATAAAAATACAGTTGTGTCAGTTAACTGGAAAAGTCTTACTTTCAAAAAACTTCTCGGCATTTAATACAGCAGTTGGCATATAGTTGGGATTCAAAAAATGCTTGTGGAATGCCTGAACAAATCAGCCATTATTGTTATCTGTTTTGAAATGAGGTATAAGATTAAAAAAAAAGGAAATAAATAAATGCCCGGTATCAGACAACAAGCTACAAGTAAAGCTGACATTCCAATCCTTACCTCTGTGTTTCTAGACTGTTACTCAGGCTCACTGAGAAGTGCCGAATATTTCTGATTTCTCAACCTCACCCTGCAGTAAACTTTTGCAATCTGGAGGCTGGAGACCTCTTTTGTAAATGTTGTCTGCCCGATGCCTGCGTTGGCACTGAGGAGGCCTTAGCAGATAGAGCGGAGGAACATATGGCTCCCATCTGAATACAAATTGGTGGACATAGCATGGTAATTCAGCTGAGATGTCCTCTATATTGTAAGCTGAAAGAGTATGATTAGAGGTGTTTATAAACGGTGTCTGATTCCCCCCTTCCCTCCTCCCCACCCCCTTTTTCACTGTAGTTTTATCTGCCTGAATCATAGCCATCTAGCATCCCAGGTTCACTGCATTATTTGTAAAAGTGGCCAGCGTGAGGAATTATTAATTAAAGCTAACAAATCACTCTGACGAGCTGTGCCCTGGCATGGCTGAAGGTTGATTGGCGAAAGTGTTCTCCTTTGGAGAAAAGACTTTTTGTGCTCGTGACGCAGTCAGGGACGGATTACTGAATATTCAAGTTAGAAGAAAAATCACAGGACAAGCAAATTGAGTATTTACTGGCAAATAATTGCTCTCTTAAGCTGTGGCTCTCTTCCTAAATTCTTAACATTCCCGAGGGTTAGAAAGAAACACAGAAAAATGCATCGGTACAGAGTGCATTTCAAAAAATATATATAGACTGATGTTTCAGACTTATGCAGGTAAGTGTGATTGTGTGTGCATGGAAAGTGAAAGAACAAGGGAAGCGGGGAAGATGGGGAAATTTTGAATATGGTGAGTTTTTAAAAATCCATTTGTTGTTTATTGGAATACTGCTCGGCGTATTTCTAAGTGGACTGAGAATTTAGTTTCAGTGCTGCATTTGCTATGAAAGTTAGAGAAATGAGAAGCAGGGAGGGTTTTCTCAGTTACTTTATGTCTTTATCAGTAGAAGAAAATTAATGTTTTGCCCCAATAATAGTTATAAACTTTGCTCAGATATTTGTGGATATATGTATGAGATTATGGTTTGATTTAAGGATTTTGAGTTATTCTCAACCTCGTTAATAATGACCTGTCTAACAGTGTCTCAGACATTTGGATACAACTGTTGCATTTATTTTTAAAGTAAATTCTGTTTTACATTAGCACCAAGCTAGTCCTTGTTGAAAATCTGAAAGGGACATTACGTTTTTGGAATACGTAGTTACTTGGGCTTTGGGCTTCTGTAATAAGCAAAGTGTTCTTATTGTCAATTGTGTGGTCTTTTTATCTGAAATGTTGATCAGACTGCTAAGAGTTGTGGACATTTTGAGATAAGTGAAACTAGTTTAGAGGCTTTTCCAAAACAAAATTTAAATATATAAAAATATGGTAAGTATAGAAATAAAATCTCATTCTATGTATACAATGTAGACATTAAGACACAGAGATACTCTCCTAAGTATAGCTAGATTATGTGAACAGCAATATCAAAACATGTATGTCCACTGAGGATAAATTTCATATCCTGTGAAAACCTGTAAAATGTGCTTTCATCGACAACAAACTATTTTTCAAATGAGAATAATTGGCTGGCGAAATAGCATTTTAGGGTTGTAATAACTAAGAATAACATGGATTTAAAACAAATGCAAAAACATAATTTAAACTAAATTAACTAATTAATAATTGCAAAGTGCTTTAACAATAAAGCATCTACATGATAGTAATAGGAATAATAATAAAAATGAAAATCTGGCAATCACCCAGAAATTAAATCAGATGACTCTCATTAGGTTTTAGAGAATCAGAATTTTAAAATATAAGTATATTATACTTATATTTACCTTCTAGTATATTTCTTGAACCATACAATATTGTGCTGATTAAGATTCTTCCTTACTCTATTCTATGTTTTTTTAAAAAAATATAGTTTACCTTAGTATGTAGAATAGAGCATATAAGAAGGTTTAAGACAAATTTTTTAAGGTTTAATTCTCACTGGATAACATTTTGTCTTCAGATTTCAAGAGGCAGCCTTTTTAAAGTTTCTCGTGGCTATTTGAGGGCACAATTTGGTCCATTATTTTGATATTGCAAAGGGGGCATTTAAAGCATATGTTCAGAGACTAAACCATCTGCCTGCCTTAGTATGGATACCACAAAATTACGAGGACTTGGAAAGGCTCAAAAATTGAACCAGAGTCCTATGCAAGATAAAAATATACAGCACTTTGATTTTTAAAAGTGTTTTGTAACCACTTACTTTTGCTAAGTATTTCACTCGTCTTCTGTGGTAGAATAGTATCATTACACCCTTTTAATATATGGGTAATGAATAGTAAAGTGTAGTTGAATGACATGAACCTATGGCAAGTTAATGGTAATATTTCCTCTGTGATTTAACGCACTAAATTTAAATACCTTTTGGAGTTTGGGATTTACCTGTCAATAGTGAAACTCACAGTAAATTGGAGAAACGTTATAAAATGGTGACTGCTGGAACAAAAATGAAGTCCAGCTGCTAGCTCTGGACTATCTACAGATGAGTTGCAAGAGGCATGCAGAGGTCAGACTGAAAGCACTCTGTAGTCCAACTGTGATGTAATAGAAGTATGAATCAGCTATTGGTTGCCCATGCTGGGGAGGGGGGCAAAAAATGAGCACTACTTGGCATTATTATAGAGTAGTACTGTATTCCTTTGGTATCTGGAAGGATATGAGATTCAGAAATTAATACTAGAGCCAAAATCATTTTTCGGACTGAAACATAATACTATTTCAGCCCAGACTGGTCATACAAAGACACATCAAGATGAGTATCATTGTTAGGATGCCTAGTGCCCAATTAGAGTTCTTCTAACTTATCTGAGTTTTATTGAACCAGATTTAGACTAGCTGGATCATAATAATTAGAAATGCAGAAAATAAGCTAAACCCAGCCTGAAGATCAGCTTTCAGTGTTGAGATTACTTATCACTATTTGTTACTTAATGAAAATTATTTAAAGAGAATAATAATGGAGACAAAGGACTCAATTGTTTGGTTTGAAGATTCTAAGTTAAAAATATGCATATATATATATATATATATATATATATATATATATACACACACACACACACATATATATGTTTCAAATACATGTAAGTCAATAGGATGTTCATATTTTATTACATGCATACATATATCATTTTTAAAAGAAAAATATTTTCAAAATTATTGCTTTGGCTTATTAAGCCTCTGGACTTTTTATGTACAGACAGTCTGGAGATTGAACACACAGCTTTTAACACAGCTATAGTTGGCTTTCAGGACTTAAGGATGTCAGAAAAATAATCTGTTGTGGAAAATACCTTTGTCCAGTTTCATATGGATCTCCTCACAGCGGTATTTAATTTTATGCCTCCTTAAATTGCAATCCTATTAATAATCAAGCGAGCCTCATAGCACAAGGACTACAAAATATCTCCATTATTTGAGGAGGTTAGTTTTTATTTTATACTTGGGGTGTGTTTGATATATATATATATCTAACACACACACACACAATTTTTTTTTTGGTTTGGTTTCTTTATTTATATCAGCCACATTGCTCCAATATGGTAATTAAAATGGCTGACAAATAAAAAGAAACAGATAATACAGTAAAATGCATGAATTAGAAGTAGATGAAAAAGATAAAATAAAACAAAACAATAAACAAGGGCACGGATATAAAAATGGAGTCACGACTGAAGTCAACACACAAACTACATTCAGTAAAATGCTATGCATTTGTCTTTGCACTTTACTGCAGCTAAGTCAAGGGGAAAACTATGACAGGTTATGCAATTTACAGCATTCATAAGAATAATACAATAATTTTCATCATTCATTAACTACAGCTCCTGAAAAATGACAGACTCTGAATTTAGAGAACTCAGTGCTGAGACAACTCCCATGGAAATAATTATAGGCTGCAGATACCTAGAGGTCAGGGCAGAGCAGAACAGTGCCTTCCCTGGGACAGGTGTGGAGGGGCAGACTTCCAATTCCAGGAGATACATCTCAGGGAGGGCTGTGAGGGAAGCAATGATGTTGGCAAGGCCAAGATCTTATGGTAAATTGGTGAGTTAAAGAGGGACTTTTTTTGTTGTTAATCCTCATCTGAGGATATTTTTCCGTTGGTTTTTAGAGAGAGTGGAAGGAAAGGGGAGAGACAGAGAGAAACATCTATTTGAGAGAGACACACCATTGGTTGCCTCTCCAATGCGCCAGGAACCGAGCCTGCAACCCAGGTATGTGTCCTTGACAGGAATTGAACTGGGACCCTTTAGTCTGATGCTCTATCCACTGAGACAAACCAGCTATGGCAAAGAAGGATTTTTTTAAACAATTCGCTTATATAAATATAAACATACATATCTTATAGTACATCTACAATTTAAGAGGCATCCACTTTTATAATAGCCATTAAAACACATTTTATCAAAATAAACCTGTTGAATCAATATTGCTTCCCTAAGTTGTTCATAAATATTGCTGCATGGCTGCCATACTTCTCCCACTTTTACTTTAAACACACTGTCAATCTTTGTGAAGTTTTAAAAAAGATCCCCTTCTGGCTGGAAATGTATAATTTCTTGTCCTTGTACCTTCTCTTGGTTCATTTTCAAAAGTCTTAGCAAATTGCATCGTCTTTTCACAATTTTAATGGTTAAGTCACATTGAATAAGCTAGACTTTTCTCCACATAGAAAAAGTGAAGCATAAAGATTTCTTTTCATATTTCCTTTATAGCCCAATCCACAGTTAAGTAGTCAAAGGACCACCTGTATCATAATTACCTAGGGTGGTTGTCCAAAGGAAGAGTCCTGGACCCCATTCCAGAATTTCTGAATTAGAAGTTCTGAGGATAGTGCCTGGGGATCAGTAGTTTAGGAAGCTACCCAGGTTTGTTATGCACACTAAAGTTTGAAAACCACTGTTTCAATATTGTAAATTTAAATTTTCTAGTATGTGAACATAAAATGGTAAGATTTCCATACCACAGTTGGTGAGGATTTATTATATTAACACTGATGCATGTTCAATAATAAATGATGATTTCCTGCTAATAAAACTGGAAAAATCTAGCTTAGGAAAATACTCTGAATTTGTTTGAATCTTTTAAGCCATATCTCACCATTATAAGGAAACATTCTTTAATTTTTTAGTTATCATTTATTGAAAACTATGGTTTTGTCATTTATTGAAAACACGTTGGTGCTGGGCATGGAGGTACAAAGATTAAAAAGAACAAGTCAGTCTGTTTTTTGAGAAAAACTCATAATTCAGGATAATTTAGGGTATTATCTTTTCTAAACTAGGATGAATGGTCACCTAAATTCCTTTTGAGTAAAACTCAAAATTTCCATTGTATTTTATCAGTATAAGTATACATTCATTGATAGCTTCATATAGTAGGGCTGTGCTATAATTTGGAAGCTGCAAAACATAAGAAAACCTTGTAGGTTCACCCTTTCCCCTCCAGGGGACAGTGTCCCCCAGAATAGGATGGGATGTATCATGGGGACCTTCTAATTTTATTTCTTCCATCATCAGAGTTTTGTTACTAGGATCTGTTTAAAAAATGTTTGTATTGATTTTATTTTTAAAAAATTTTAAATCTTTATTGTTGAAAGTATTAAATATGCCCCTCTTTTCCCCCATTGACCTCTTCTAGCCCGCCCCCGCACTCTGCACCAGGTTTTCACCACACTGTTGTCTGTGTTCATGGGTTATGCATATATGCATACACGTTATTTGGCAGATCAGTTTCCACCCAATTTT